CGCCCCCCCCCCACCCCCCGCCCCCGTGAGCGGGTACTGCCGTCCGCTCGATCCCCCGCCAGCTCCCCTCACCCCAAATGCCAGCTTCCCCCACTGCGCCCCGGCGGGTCTTTGTGTGTGAAGCGGCAATGGCCGCGCCGCCGGGGGCAGCAACCGCGTTTATTGACGTCCGGCCATGGCGGGGTCGTGTGTTCGTGTACGTGCAGGGGCCGCTGGTGAAACCCAGTCATGGCGCTGGGGATGCACTGAGGAGGAACAGGGAACAGCCGGCCTGGCGGTGCTGGGGCCAGCGCTGGGCACCGCTGCTGCTCACCTACGGCAGCAGGACTCTGGCTGTTTGTGGCAAACTCAGGATTTGTACTGATCTTAACTCATTATTTTATAAATTAAATGCAGATGCTTCATGTGAGCGGTGATGGCGGCGGGGGCACGCTGGTCATGGCAGGCCAAGTGGTGCGGGCTGAGCTGCCAGAAGGCACGTTAGACCAGAAGAGGTGGGATGTGAGGTGAGCTGCCATAGTGGTGGCCCAACCGGGAAGGAAGCGGCAAGGGGCTGACAGAGAAGTGCCCTGCAGGCCGGCATGGCCTGCCTGCCCTGCCCGCCACCACCTCCGGCAGCGTGTGCCGGGCTTCTCGGCCTCTGCAGATGGCCGGCACAAAGAGGATGGTTTTCTGTGTCAGGGGAGGCTGTGTCCTTGGCGTTCTTTGTCTCGGTGTCAGCCCGGGCTTGCAGCCTCATTATGGATCAATGGGTTGCCCATAATCTGTGTCGCTCTGAATTTGCAAGCTGCATCTATGCATGTGGCTTTATGTATATACAGAATATATACGTACCGAATTACACACAGGGTATGTATATAATAGAGAAACTCTCATTCTGATTCTTTGCTAATAAATGAAACATCGTGCACAAATGATATTATTTGAAAGAATTTCTTAAAGTAATAAAACATGGGTATGCACATGAATAGGCTGAAATGGTGTCAGCCTAATTTTTTTACTTCTGTGGTTTCTGTGAGAAAAATGAAATTAGATTAAAAGTTCATGGGACTGTTCGTATTTTATCAGCTCCGTGTTCACATTTATTCACACAGTCAGAAAGCCATAATGAAGGTAATGGCTTCATTAACCTAGACATTCAAGTTACTCATGAAAATCACATAAACCTAACGGGGGCAAGGAGAGAGCACTTCAGTTAGTAGTGTGTTACCTGTTTATCCGAAAGAGTTACATTACTTACTCTCATAGACACTCATGAATCAGTTTTATTCGCAGATTGCTATGAATTAGCAAATTCACTTTGTACTGCTTTGTCAGCACTGCCCTTGTACATGACTGAGTGTGAAAGCTGCAGCAGCAATATCCTGCCCAGTGCTTACCTTTGAGTCCTTTGTTACAGTCAGCACCACGGAGTGACCTGTTCCTCTGCCATTTTCTATGTTTACATTTTGTGGGTCTACAGTGTTTCTTATGTGTGGCTGTTCTCTCTGCTTAGCACCTGCTGTTTCTGAGAGTAATGTCTGACCATTAATTCCTTTGGTATTTTCTCTGGCTGGCTATATTTATGACTAGCCTTTTTAAGCTTTTTCAGATCCTTCGCTCATTTACCTGACTTTTTAGTAATACCTGAGTGAGGTTGTACTCTTCTTGTGTCTACCTATGTCATGCTTAACTCAATTGCAACTTCTGTGATAACTCCTTAGAACCTACTCAGCCGTTCCAGCCCCCAGAGGTACTGTTTTTACTAACACGTACCAGCTTCCAGCAAGTGCTCCAACAGATTCACCAGGCTTTCAAAGTACCAGTGAAAACAAATCCTTTTTGGATGAGGTCAGACTTAAGCAGGTAGGACACAGTCCAGTGGGCTTTCAGATACTTTCATCTCCATACAAGATCAAGGAGGAGTGAAGACGTACCATGGCATGAAAGGGCCCTAAGCTCTTTTTATTATGAGGTCATTAAACTTCCATAGGATTTCTTGTTATCCTGAGGAGAATATGCTGGAAATTGTGCCCTACCTCAGCAGTGCATTTAAGCACGGGCTTACTCTTAAGCTTTCAGTTAAGTTATTCCTGGCCATAAAAATTAATTAAGCAGATGAACAAAATTAGTTTGTTAAGTAAAAATCTTACCATTTTTAAACATGGGCCTGCATGAAGCATTGCAGTCGTGGTACTTTATATCTGATTAAAATGCTCTAGAACGCTTGGATTTTCTACTTCATTAATTTTTTAACTTTGCTATAAATCTAAACAAAAAGAAGTAAATATCTAGAATGGAATGGTTTGGCCAAGTGCATTACAAATATATTAATGTGAATAATACAGTAGACTGGCAATTTCAGCTGCAGTTACAATTCACTCAAATATAAGGACTGTTAAAATACATCTTCACTCATTTTGTTCAGTCCAGCAGAAAGGTCAAAAGGTAAAATGACTTCTCTGCATGAATAAACTAGACAATGTATCTGAAAATAGAGATTTTAACTACAAATGGCATTTTGAACCTCTTACTACTAGCAGCCATCTTATTAGAAAGTGACACAATGTCAGGCACTATAAAAGAAACTCCATCCTATACCCAAATTGAAGTAAAATTGCAAGACCTGGGTCTGGCATTTAAAAAAAAATATATATATATATTTTAAACAGCTTTAAACCGATTATTGAAATGGTGTTAGAACAAATTAGAGCATTATTACACTGACCTCCTAGATGATCTTTATGGCATAATTGCTGCTAGTGATCCAAGTAGCCATTAACAAGTCCAAGTACCATTTTGCTGTACAGCAACTTGTGTTTTTCAGACAGAAGACTGCTTGGCATCCTTTGATCCTTCAGGCTGCTTAGCTGAGCAAGATAGATTTTTCTTTTCAGTTTCAAATATTTTAGTAGATTATTGCCACTCTGTTGGCTGTCACTCTAGATTATATCACCCTGTCCCTAACAGAGTGCCTGTATTGCTGCAAGTAAGTTGTAGCACGTCAAGAAAGACCAGATCACTAATTACAATAAAAAAAAAAAAGACCATAATAAAGTGACATCTGTTCTGTTGGTGACATGCTGATGTCATGCAGATTGAATGTGACAGTGGAAAGAACTTTAACACTGATAGCCAAATAAAAATCTAAAATAAATAAATCCCATATAGATTGGCAGCACTGAAGAAGCTGCTGCTTTGTAAGAGATGTAAAACCAAGACATCCTAGTTCTTCGACAGCCCTAATGGTTTATCTTGCAATCTTTTATTTAGTCTGGAAAATTAAAGTAATAAAAACATCACAGAAGTTTTCCAAGCAAGGATGAGGCAAACAGAAAAGGTATGAGCAGGTACATTTTCACAGCCGCTGGAGGTTTATTCTGGAAAAGGCTACAGAGATAACATTTTATTGGGGGATACATCCTGTCCATCAGTCATTACTGCAAAAGCTTTTCTACATTTATCCACCTGGAAAAGATTAAGCAAAGCCCTTTACTAAAGAATTGGAAAGATGAAAAGAAATGTGTATTAAAAAAAAAAGAAAGACAAAGTATCACATTTTCATCTGATAGTCAAGACACTTGGCAGTATTATAAAATGTTCTGATTTAATTGGTACTTCTTCATGTTCCAGCTCCTGCTGCTAAGGGCCAGACCCTGTTCAGCTTCCCTAGTCTCTAGTCTGCCTGGAGAATTAGAAGAAAAGGAGATGAGATATGTTTTGCTGTTCTTAGGCCTCTGTAGCCTCAATTGTGCATAGCTGTGCAAGCCTAAGACCTCTTATTTCTACCATTAGGAATTGTCCAACTACACTTTTAAGCAAGATTTACAGCAGCACAGTTAATCATGATAGAAAAACATAAGGAGACAGTTGAAATTTTTAAAATATTCTGAACATAAATTCAAACATCCATCTGCAGACATGTAGAGTTACAGATCTGTTCTTCAGATGAAATAC